ATCTATCTATCTATCTATCTATCTATCTATCTATCTATCTATCTATCTATCTATCCATCCATCCATCTATCCATCTCAGCAGCTTGATTTTCCATAAAGCCAAAAATAAGATACTGCTATCCATGGCAAGATTCTGCTTGGAAGAGGAAGTTTAAATACAGCCAATTTTCTTTATTATTCTATTATTATTATTCTTTATATGCAATATAATGAATCTGATAAGAATGACACTGGATAAAGATCAGGGAAAATACTATGTAATGCATAGTGAACACATTTTACCTGGATCTGGTTTTTTTCTTACAACTGTGGAATCCACTGATACGCTAGAATTAGTACTAGAGCTTGGATGAAGCGGCTTTGGAACATCTTCATTTCTTAATTTCTCACCTTAGAATTAAAAATAAAGATAAAAGTATTATCAGCTAGTAGCTATATGTTATCTCACTAAACAGAGGAATATTGTTGAGAAAGTGAGTACTATTTTACTTGTATGTTAAAGGTTGAATTCTTATAGGCCAATATGAGAATAGAAAATACTGTACTGACTTTTGACCTGATTCATGATAGGTTCTTTTATGCATAACACCATACTCTTTTTTTTTTACTCCTTCTTTCTTATTTATTTGAATCTTCCTGTGCTTTTAGGTTCATAAAGAGAGTAGTCAAGCCACTTAAAAGACAACACTTAACTCAAGCGTCGAACATTCTGATTCAATTCTCAGTAAAAAGAAGCTATATGAAGATCATGTTTCAGCTGATCTTCTGACTAATCCCCATAAATCTCCCAATTAAATACTGTCTGTATATATAAAGACTGTGAAAGGAATAGTGGGCAAAATCCTATGTAACTTTTAAGATAATTTTGGAGAACAGAGATTTACTTAGCTTAGCAATCAGTTATAATGTATTTCAATCAGTTATAAGAATTCCACAAATAAAATATAAAATTTAAAAAACATAAGAAAAAAAACCAATGTTAAATATTTTAAAACGGTCACAAAATCAGTAGAAACATAGTCAAAGTAAATCCTATTCATAAACATACCATTTTACTTTAACTGAACTTACTTCATTCCAATAATTGTAATATACAGTACCACCAGAACTGACAGAAAACAGCTGCAACCTTCTTTGTAATCATAGAACACTGGTCTAAGAATAAGATGAGAATTCTTTCTACCCATCTTGTTTTTGAGTAGCTACTATTCCATGCAAAGATCATAGTAAAAGAGGCAGCACAATAACACATTGGTCTGCTCAATCTCACTGATCCCACAAGAATAGATGCATTCAGCTTTGAAGATATTATCATACTTCCTTTCAAAAGAACTAAATGAAGCAAGCTTAAAAACTCTCTTCCATGCAGCACATATGTAAGATTGTATCTTGTATGAAGAAGACTGTTTTCCACATGAGGGAACATGTGCGTTTTAGACTCTCAGGAACATAGACTGAACATTTTTCACCATTTTTTTTGAAAATATATATTAATACAACATCTGTCCTAGTTGCATTGTATGGCATAAGTGGCAGCATAGAAAATAGACAATCTAGCTTTGGTGCCAAGCCAGGTTTGAAGTTTGTTATTTGTTTAACGGCCCTTTGTTTTGTTGATTTTGTTGCTTATTAGGACAATTTTGTCAGGATTGTCTGATTTAATACTTTTAGCTCCTGTTTACGTGGTTTTTTTCCCTAGTTTTGTATGCTGCTCATAATCTACTGGGTGGCCAATATAAGTAAGTAAAAAAGCCTAAAAATCTTTTTTTAAATGTTACATTTCTGAGTACTGCAACCTACATTTTCAACTTGTGCGCATCTATTCCAAGCATTTTTCAGTTTTGTATTTGCTTATGGTTCCTGGGGTAGCTATTTGGTGAAATCCCCAATCCACAATTTTGTAAGACAGCCCACAGCATGTTTTAAAATTCCAAATACCAGTGCAAAAAAAAGGAAATGTTTTGTTTGACAATTGAAAAATGATCTAAAATGGAAAACCTTACACAGAAAGCTTTCATTGCCATAGAAACATCATCAACTGGCATCTTTCAGCCATTCTCGACATCTGAGGTCCCTGGCAGAGTCCACTATTGGTCTGCCTCAAACTTCCTTTAGTTTGTTTTCTGAAAAGTTGCATTTGGTCATGGATATTTGGAACATTAAAATGTCCAACTAAACCATCTATTGCTGCTTGAAGTATGGACATTAAAGCCAGGTAAACAATTAGACTGCTTTGACAGGTGAGAGTCCATGCCCAAAGATACTTTGCCCAAATTCCCATTAACTTGGAATTGGCTCTGTTCATTAGTCAGGGATGTATTTCTTAATAAGAACAAATGTCAGACTAAACTTATTTCTCAAATAATAGCTACATTATCTAAAAGAAAAGGGTCTGGATATTCCTCTAAGCATATATTTTTATAGAAAATGTGATAATTCAGGGAATATAAATTATCTACAAAGTAGGCATAAAAGCACAGAAATAGAGAAACAGAGTTCATTAGATAATACACAATCCAATATTTTATTTCTCATATCATTTTCCATTGCCTCCTTCTTAGGGTTGAGAGAGAATGACCAGTGCAGGATCACTCAGCTGGTTGTGTGCCCAGGAAAACTCAGAATTGGTTTCTTAGGCCTTAACCACTATACCAAACTCTCTCTTTTATATTAAATGTATAAAACGTACATTATTAATTGTTCTATACAAAGGCACAATATTTGTTGCCTTTTATTTTTAATGTAACATTTATTTTGATTTAAGAATTAGTAAAGAATGGGTTATCAAAATCTAATATGAAATAGAAGTAGTTTTCTATTTCAGAAGCTATATAATTTGATTTTTTTTTAATCCAAACTTTTTAAATCCAAATTTGTCTTACTTAACTCAATTTATTTTGCTCGATCTTGACAAATATTTTTAATGAGTAAGCAAATTGTTCTCTCTGTAGTCTTCACTTTTCAGGCTGCAATTAAATTGTCAGAACCACTAGATTTTTTTCTTGGAAGTACTTATGGCAAATCCAAAAGTTAGGACATGTTTACACTTCAATAATTCCAGTTAGAATCTCAGGGTTAAGGGTTAATTATGGTTCACATTACATCTTTTTCTTTATTTGCATCTATTGTTACTTTCTTAATGTGAAATAAACATTAACAGAGCACCAAATACATGTCTACTGAATGGCTTTACTTCCTGGCATTTGATTGTAGAACTAATTATTTCACAATTATATTATTGTTTTCTATTTATCTGTTTACAGAGATAAGCAAAGGACCACAAGGTATACCATTAAACATACCTGCAACAAAATAAAGGTGCCACTACTAAACATTTCAACAATATCAGGAATAATATTTAAGTGTTACCTCTTGGTGTTTTACTCCAGGACGATCCTCCTGTTGTTCTAGTTCTAGGAGGAGCTGGTGTTGTTCTGTGGACAACTGAAAAAAGGAATGTCAAGGTTATTAGGACCTGATTGGAGACAATAATATATTTATTTTCATTATGGTTATTAAAATTCCAGCTTTCTTCATTCCTATTCACTGATTTTAACTACTACACCAAATTAACTCTCCAGAAGTTGTATCTTAGCTAGCTCCAGTTAATAAAAGAGGAAAGGTAAACATACTGAAATACAGCTTATGTTTGTGATCTGCAACAGCAAAACACTGACTGCTATGCAGTGTTTTGGAGAGGCTTTTGGAAAAAAACTGCAGTATTACATACTAAAGAAAATTTGGACAACTATTTAGTGGGAAGAATCACACTGAATATTTATGGAGACACTGAAAGTGAGAAAACAAGCAGGACATTACATATGTGATTGAGGCTGGAGAGAGCACCAAGGAGAGCACAGTTCAATCTTAGGCTACAAATCTTCTATTAATCCAAAAAATGGTTCAGTATTTCAAGGACAAGAAACAGTTTTGCTTTTAATTCAAGGTAATAAACTGATCAGCTAAAATATTGTTCTGTATTGATTTTAGTAGACTGGGTTTCCTGTTTTGAAGGCAATACCTTTTCTCAAACGTGGAGTTTTGGTGACTGTCACTTTGTTGTTCAGTTTAGATGGAGCTAAAACAAAATAAACATGTTAAGTTTTGTTTTTAAATGGAATATGAATAAGACTATGACTTTCAAAACAGAAAGTACTAGACCATCAAAGCAATCTTACAGGTGTTCTAGGAAGATTAAATTTTTGGCACCAGGAAATTTAGAATTAATTCGATTTCTGATTCAGAAATCTGTTTGATGTAGTATTCTGTATAGTCAGTTTCTACACTTAGGTGGAGAATTTATGTAATATATACATAACACACACGCGCACACCACACACACACGTGCGCGTGCGCACACACTGATTCATAAATCTGCATAAAATTTAAGTGACTAAATCCTCATTCCAGTTAACATCAAGATATAAATAAATAAATCATCCATAATATCTTGGAACAATTGGAAACATGTGAAGCTGAATTGATTCTGGGTATGCTGCAGTTAAGATATAGGGAACAAAAGAAAAGTCACAGCCACAGTTAGGTAGTTCTCTGAGCCAGATTTGGAAATAGAATAACAAACAAGATTATTGCAAGAAAAAGAATCTTAACACACTGCCATCTATAGCAATAGCACTTAGACTTATATACCACTTTAGAGCCCTCTCTAAGTGATTTTACAGAGTCAGCATATTTTCCCCAACAATCTGGGTCCTCATTTTACCCACCTCAGAAGAAGGGAAGGCTGAGTCAACCTTGAGCCTGGTGAGATTTGAACTGTCAAATTTTAGGCAGCTAGCAGTCAGCAGAAGTAGCCTGCAGTACTGCACTCTAACTGCTGTGCCACCACGGCTCATACTTATTGTATACATCTACTTATTGTATTAATATTCACAATTGAATGTATTCCTAGTATCCTTTTATTTTGTTAAAAGAACAGTTTATGATGATTTTGGAAATCATTCTTAATTTTCTTTTAGCACCAAAGGAAGATTTGGTATTAACTCAAATGTTTATGTTTTAATAAGATTAGTCTTGTCTATACATCATTCATATCCATTTAGTTTTCAATGTGATTTTGGCTATATCCTATCATAAACTTTGTATCACCACATGATACTGCCTTTGACCAAGTCCCCATCCTTATCCTTTTTAAAGATTTGTATGCTTATATTGCTAATGTTTTGGCTCTGCAGTATTGCTGTGGCTGCATTTTTAGTAGTTTGAATAGCTAAAACCCAAAAGCAAACAAACCAAAATATATCAGTAACTAACTGTTAATCCCAATTATTGTCAAAATCTTATCTTTTAGACTGCAAAATAAATGCAGATGTGAGGGGTTCTCTCCATCTCTGTTAGTAATAAGCCAAACCAAAGCTAAAAGGACAGATTGCATTCAGACATTCCTTATGGGAATTCTTTTTGCAACTAAAAAGGAATTAAAGTTCTTGCTCTTAGCCCCAAAATTTCCAGGCTTTGGTTTGCTTATTTGATTTCTGATTGTCTAGATCCCTAATGGTAAACCTATGACATGCGTGCCACAGGTGGCACGTAGACCCATTTGTGCAGGCACGTGAGCTCCAGTCAAACTTACCTGCACTGCACATGTGCAGGCCTCCCAGCTGATTTTTAGCCCGTTTGAGGTCTTTTTTGGCCTCCTTGAGGTTTGAGGGAAGCCTCTGCAGCTTCGGGAGGCCGAAAAATGGGCCTATCGAAAATACTGAAAGTGCCCATTTTCAGCCTCCTGAGGGCCTCTGGAGCTAGAGGAAGGCGGTTTTCACCCTCCTGGGGGTTTGATGGAAGCCTCTGCAGCCTTTGGAGGCCAAAAAATGGGCCCGTTTCATCACTTCCAGTATTTTGGGGCTGTTGTGTGTGCATGCGTGGGGGTGGTGGAGTGCATTGCATTGTGGGTGCTGGCACACGTGCTTTTGGCACACCACACCAAAAAGGTTCACTATCGTTAATCTAGATGTTGTTAATGTCAAATCCTAATAGACCATGATCAATGGTCATATTAATTAGGCCTGATGAGAGTAGTGTCCTAGAAAGTTTGTTCTCCTTGCTTTTTAAGAGACACAATATGCTTTGGATGGCTGAGCAGTTATTTTTATAGAAATAATACATAAAGAGTCCTGCCAGCCTATCATTTATTATTATTTAGCTTGAAAATAAGAAATATGAGATGAATAAAAAGTTATTATTCATTTTTCCTACATCCTTTTACTTTTTCTTCCATTATAATTTGGTTGCCCTGTTAAATAATAACAGACAATGGGCAAATCAAAAATTAAGAAACATAATTTTTTGTGCAAATAAAAAAGCCAAACTTTCCTCAGGCATTTTTTCATGAAGCCTTGTATCAAATTTAGAAGACAGCAATTGTGGTGTGGTGTGGTGTGAGCGTGTGTGAGGGGGAGAGAAAGAGAGAGAACACCTTGTTCATATAATATATTAAAATTTGACTTTGAAATGTAATATTACATTGGTGGGTGATATATTGTATAAAAAAGAACTTACTAGCACGTAGCATACCCAATAATACCTAACATATTTGCTCTTTAGAAAAAAACACCTTACTTTTTATATAGCTTTGTTATGAGTCATTATGGATAACTAAAATAATGTTTATGTATTTCAAGATATTGTATCAGTTAGATTTCAAAACAACAATAGCAGTTTCAAAAATTCATCTATGAGAATTTGATCAAAATTTAACTACCAGGTTTAGTCTTGTTCTTTCCTTGTTTGTCAGATGGTTTGGGTTTTGAAGGAAGAAGTTGTGTTTCTTTTGGATCTGGAAAAAGGGAATAGGATATTTATTATGGAATCATGGCTTGTATTTTATTCAAATAAGAGTACATGACTTAAAGTCATTAGAAAAAATAGAGATTATTGCATGTGTTTCTGGTAGCTGACTTGAAACAGAGCGATAATATATAACCAGTGTTAAGGAGAAATAGTCAAGCTCTGAGAAACAATATCTTGAATAGGAAATGTAGAAAAAAAGACATTATTTACCAATGTTAGAATCTGACAGAGAGTAACAAAACAAAACTTATGTGGAAAAATCTTTACAATATAAATCAATGTGTTACAATAAAAATGATGCTATTTTTGATAATCATGAAGGAATAAATTATTTATTAATTTCCCTATGGCATGTTTTAGTCGTATTTGTTCACCCAATTCTCTACCAGCGAGAATTCACAGAGGTGCCCATACGAAGTGAGTGGTCTGAGAGCAATGAAGACCCAAGTAATAAAGGAATTTAGAAGAAGTAAGCCAGAACCAGCATGTTGACTTGACCCAAAAGCCTACTGGTAACAGCTTCTGTATCCAACATAGATCAACAAGCATAGTTGCATTTTTTGCCTGTTGTAGCTCCTGGGGCATTTTTAAGCTAAGGATAACAGTGTATCTGGGATGTGGTAAGAATATGCATCATGTTTCAGTCATTCTGATCCAAGTAAGATCAAACCAGGTGGTCCATGGTTAAGAATGTCACAGGAAGCCAAGAGATCCAACATGTTTAGGAGATCATTCAGATCCCATTGCAAATCATTCACAAAAGAGACCACTGATCGTTATATCAGGTATTCTGAACATGAAATAGGATTGATAAAAGATGATATAGAGGTATTGAAAACTACTGCACATTTGAGCCTGTGATTATGTTAACTACAAAGGTATAAATATAATTGTTCCTAATAATTTTAGATGTAACAGCTGAGTACATATTTCAAACATGGTCAAAATATTTGTGTGTATGTATATCTGTACATACAAAAATATTCAAGGCAACTAGTGATATATAACTTGTCCCAAAGAAAAGTTTTTCAAATTTGATATGATACGAAACAAAGTAAGAGCAGAAATCTTCCATCAAACACTACTGTTGGTTGTAATTTCAGTGATTTTAGTTTTTGCAGTGGATTTCTAGTGTTCTTTCAGAAATAGAGAAGAAAACAGGAGTATAGAAGCAAATTTTCTGACAAGTTTTCTTCTTGTGTTGAGATATTTGTGCTAAATCTGGCAACAGGACAATATTTTTTACAGAAAATTGAGATTTGGAAACCTTTTTCTCTTCTAAATAGTCTCTAAGGGGGAATTTGGGATACCTTGATCTAAAAATACAGAAACTAAAAATATGGATGATAATATGAAAATGAGACTCAGTTACAGATTTGTTCTGTAGCATTGTTAGCATGGATAAATTGATTGGTTAAGAATGAACTGGAGGAAAGTGAAATAAGAATTTAAACTGAATTATACTGTGCAGAAATGCATCTGTTAACAGCTGATAAAAGCTGGTATGAAAGTCACATGGGCAGAAGGTTGAAAAAGAAAGACAATGTTGCTATTGCCTCAATATTTTGTCATCATTATCACCATCATCTTTGTCTTTAAAAATTTCTGAATGACAAGTATTACGTTGCTTAGTATTTTCATTATGAGAGATAATATTTGCAGAACATGTTTACGTGAATTCAAAACTTCTATTTGAATGACACTGAATTTTTGAAATTTCTGGACTATCATTTTCTGCATTTTATTTTATTTATAACACTTATGGCTAGTTCATGTCTACCTAAAGTTAATCCAAAATTTGCACTGGGTGTTTTTTTTTCTTCCTTTGTTGACATAATTGGAGACATTGTGGCTGTGTCCATAATATGACCATGGAGCACATTGATAGAATTGTAGTATACTAATAGATATGAATACTGTATGGCAACCTATAGTTTTGAGTACTAATAATTACCTGTAAAAATACTTCTCTATCTATCATTCTGCATTTGCAAAGGAACAGCTACAGGTACTTTCTGTACAATCAGTCGTGGCTGTTTCCCTTCACTGAGAGAATCACATATATTATGAGGTTTAATGAAGCAAATAAGATTCAGACACTGGTGACTTGATCTTCTTTCTCTATTTCTTCCACCTTCAGACCAGTTGCCCCCTCACCCTCTTCTTTCTTTCTTTCTTTCTTTCTTTCTTTCTTTCTTTCTTTCTTTCTTTCTTTCTTTCTTTCTTTCTTTCTTCCTTCCTTCCTTCCTTCCTTCCTTCCTTCCTTCCTTCCTTCCTTCCTTCCTTCCCCCTTCTCCTTTCTCCTCCTCCTCCTCCTCTTCCTTCCTCCTTTCTTGATCTTCTTCTTCCCGAATATACATATCTTCCTTATTTTAATTTGATGGAGAACATTTAACTGTAGAACATTAAGAAAGTAAAATGGAAAAAAATATTCCAAAAACAATTGGAATGATGAAACAAAGAAATGGCTCCAGTTTGCATTAGATGAAGTGTAAGTAACCTGAATATGATAGAGGTCAGATAAAATGCTTGGGTATAAAATGCTTGCCAGGTTGTTCAACTATATTGTTCAACTACCAGTATATAAAACAATAATATTAAAGTGGTGCTGCTATTTTAAAACTCTTTATGTGAAAGTCAATGTTTACTGCATATTTGTGCCAAGGACAGCTAAATGTATGAAAAAAGCAAATAGTTATTATTTGTAATAGTACAAAACATTTTTTTCTGGAAATTAATTGTCCTTCAAACAAACAAGAGAAGAGCATAATTTTTTATTATACATGATTACCAAGTGTTTCCTTTGTCTTTTCAGGGGCAACAGGTACCATAGTTGTAATAAGATCTTGAGAGAATGGAATAGTTTCTGTGGGACAAAAAATGATTTTTTTTTCATCATGAAAGAGCTGGAAACATTAAGAAGGTTAATTTTCAGTAGTTTGTTTAATGTAGTTTGTTCCAAAGAATTCACTCTCTAATACATGAAAAAACAACAACCCTTAGGCAGAAGGATTTTATTGCATTAAAAGAATAGTTGGAAAACAAATATCCATGCATCTGAGTGGGAGCCATATATTCATGAATACAAATTTAATCCTTGTCAGTTCTTTCATTTTGCCTTTTGCTTGGCTTTTTTTAATTTGGGAAGTAACAATCACAGATGGACATGCCTCCAGTTGTTCCTTGAAACATTGTGTGCAGAGAATGTGGGTGCATTTAATATGCTCTATCATCCTATAAGATGCCAAGAAAGATTAATGAAGTATTTTATTCAGTAGTCAGTATTCAGAGTTATTTGCTCTCAGTGTGAGTGTGACCCTTTTCTATGTCTATATCTATTGGGACATGATAAAGAAAGAAATCATTTTGCAATAAGGAAAGTTTATAATATTTTTAATTGCATATATACAAATTTGGAATCATCCAAAACATATTTCAAGATTCTGTAGCAGTTCAGGTGTTTTATACTTCTAATGAATCTGAATCAAATTTGAAATAAAAATATTTTAATTGCATATACAATTTCAGGTTTTCAATTGTAGGCAATCCAAACTCATGTTATAACAATGCAAATGTTTTAACCCTTGTTTGACAATTTATTTATATAATGAATCTACATTCTGATGTAATCCCAGTTTAAAAATTATAGGAAATCTGAGTTTGAGAACATGGCCAAGTAGGGTTTATATACTTTATATCTACTTTTGGCCAATCAGGCATTTAGATAATGATGTTATATGAAAGTAGTATGGTAGTAAACAATAGTATTACTATGTAATAGTAGTACTTCTAGAATAGAATAGAATAGAATAGAATAGAATAGAATAGAATAGAATAGAATAGAATAGAATAGAATAGAATTCTTTATTGGCCAAGTGTGATTGGACACACAAGGAATTTGTTTTGGTGCATATGCTCTATAATGTATATACTAATAATGTAATAGTTATATTTCTATAATACAATATTATTTGCATTTTAAAAACCATCTGCTCTGAATGAATTTCAGAGTTCTTTTCCCTCAGATTGGTCAAGCAATGACTTGAACCAGGGCTTTTTCTTAATAAGTCCCAATTTCCTTAAAATACTTCTCTGATGCTATTTTAATTCCTATTAATTTAAAACAAATAGAAGATTTTTATTCTTTTATATTAGTAATTTTGTGCAATTTCATAATCTTTTATATTGAATGAGCTCCCCACCTAGTATACACAAGGGCTTCTGGGACTTCTATTCGCTGTTCCTTTTGCTTATACAGATTGATGTTTTGCTGGTAAATGAATTGTCCACAGATAATCTGCAAGTGGGGCTAGAAAAATAAAGGCAGCAATACTGTGTGCCGCAAGTGAAAATGGAGCAGGATTCCCTTGTGTTTAGCTTATCAATAGCTTATATGAACAAACTTGTATGGATAAGTATTGAAGTAAATGCTTATAAAGAGCCATGGTGGTTAGAATGCAATATTGCAGACTAATTCTGCCAACTGCCAGCAATTTGATCCTGTCGGCTAAAGGTTGATGTTATATCTGGGAGGACGGTTCAAGAACGGAGGCAAGACTCAGATAGTAACTAAAGCTCTTTATTTGTGACTTCAGATCTGAGCAACTAACCCCAGCTGCAGCAGCCCCTTATATAGGGCTGGCTGTGGCTAGGCAGCCAATGAAGGCAATTTGAGTTTGCCGCTCTTGGCAGGGCCAATCGCGGCAGCCCGTTTACTGGCCAATCGCATCAGTCTATGGCGACCAATCATGATCGGCTTTCAGCGGGCCAATCAGATTTGCAGGCTATGAGCCTGCTAGTCTGGAACACCCCTCCCTCTTGCTTCCATTTAAGGGGTGGAGTAATATAGTCTCGCAGGTAAGCAGGTCTTCGCACCTGTCTGCCTGACTTACGCAGTTCCGCTTGACCTTGTTCAAACCCGGGTTCAGATGGACTGCTTGCTGGATCAAACAGGAACGGTGAACCGGTGTCATGGTCAGGGCTCTCCTCTGGTGCCTCCGGGGTGATGAAGTCCTCAGCCTCGCTGTTACTGTTCTGGCTCCCGGGGCTCGCTGAACCTGCCTGGTTGCTGCTTCCTGGCGAAGCGTTCGACTGTCCAGTCTCAGTTGCAGCTGGTGAGTGTTGCCAACCATGGTGCGGTGATCTCGGTGATAGCTCGGAATAGACAGGTGTTGGTTCTAATTCTGAGTTCACTGCTTCCCCTCCCCCCCTAGTGTCAAAGTTAGGGTCAGGGTTGGAAGATGTGGTTAGTCTGGAGCGCAGTTGGTCAATATGGCGTTTCCATGGTCTGCCATCAGTGGTGAGTAGACGGTAGGAGCGGGGGCCCGTAACTTGAGTTACCTGGGCAGGAATCCAAAGGGGATCCCCAGAAAAGTTTTTTGCGAAAACAAGGTCTCCTACCTTGAAAACACGGTGCTTGCTGCTGGAACCCAGGGGCTTTTCCGGGGTGTAGGCAGGGTGCAAACGATCTAGAGGCGATCTGAGTTTCCTGGCCATCAGGAGTTCAGCTGGGCACTTGTTGATCGTGCTGTTTGGTGTGATGTGTTGTAGGAGCAGCATTCTAGTGACTTTGTCGTGGATGTTGCCTTGATCCATTTTCTGTAGGGTTTTTTTCGTAAACTGAACCATTCGTTCAGCCCGGCCATTCGCCGCAGCATGAGCTGGCGATGTGAGTGCGTGTCGGATGCCCCATTCCGCTAAATACTGTTCAAAGGCTAAGGCAGTAAATTGGGGCCCATTGTCAGAGACCAGGACATCTGGTAACCCATGTGTGGCAAAGAGTCTGTTCAGTTTTTTAATGACCGCCTCAGTAGTGGTTGCTTTCATTTTATTGACCTCAAGCCAGTTTGAGTAGGCATCAACAGTTATTAAGAAGGTGTGGCCTCTCGTAGGTCCCGCAAAGTCAATATGAATGCAAGACCAAGGACCCCTGGGTGTTTCCCATTCTGTTGGTGGGGCTTTAGGTGGAGCTGAGTGGTTTTCCTGGCATTTGTTACAAGAGGCGACCCAGGTTTCAATTTGTTTATCGATACCTGGCCACCAGGCGTAACTTCTTGCCAGCGCTTTCATACGTACAATGCCTGAGTGTCCATCGTGTAGCATTTGCAAGACCCTTTTTTGTAACTTAGTTGGTACAACAACTCGGTCTCCCCACAAAACGCACCCTTTTTGTGAAAAAAGTTCCGTTTGTCTGTTTTTAAACGGCTTAAACATTTCCTTAAATGTCGTAATCTGGCCATCCCCTCTCCACCCAGCCAAGAACTCGTGCCAAACAAGAGTCTCTTTTGGTTTCAAAAGCAATGTCTTGAGCCGTTAGTGGAGGTGATGGCATTGTCTCTATTTGCAGTACGGGGAGTGTGACAGCTGGGTCTTCCTGTGGCTCAGGTAGCGGTGAGCGGCTCAAGGCATCTGCGTGGGGAATAGATTTCCCCAGGCGGTACTTTAATTGATAGTCGTAGGCAGCGAGAAATTCCGACCATCGCGTCATTCTGGGGGAGAGAATGTGTGGAGAAGGTTTGTCGCCCGCCAGGATCCCAAGTAGTGGCTTATGATCCGTTATAATAGAAAACGGTCTCCCATAAACATATTCATGAAATCGTTTTATTGCAGAGACAATAGCAAGGGCTTCCTTATCTAATTGGCTATAGTTTCTTTCTGTTTTTGATAGAGTTCGTGAAAAAAATGCAATTGGTGCTTCTGAGCCGTTTGGTAGGACGTGGCTCAGGATGGCCCCTACCCCAAATAGTGAGGCATCACACGTGACAGTCAAAGGTAGTGTCTCGTTATACTGAATTAGTACTGCCTTTGAGGTAAGGAGGTCTTTTACTTGCTGGAAGGCGTGTTCCTCCCGACATCCCCAATTCCAGGATGCCCTTTTATCGAGTAGTCTATGAAGGGGCTCAGCAACAGTCGCCTTCTGGGGCAGGAAGATGTTATAAAAGTTGATAAGTCCCAGGAAGGCTTGGAGGTCGGTTTTGTTTTTGGGTCTTGGGGCATTTTTGATAGCTGCCAATTCTTTTTCTGTGGGGTGGATTCCTTGCTTGTCAAGGAGGTAGCCAAGAAACTCCACCCTTTCTGTGCAAAGCTGGCACTTTTCCTTCTTAACCTTGAGGCCAGCGTTTTTGAACCTCTGTAGGACTGTTCTGAGGCGTTTTTCTAATTGGTTTTTTGTGGGTGCTGCTATTAATACGTCATCAAAATAGGGCACGACCCCTTTTATCCCTTGTAATCGTCTCTCCATCAGGCTTTGAAAGATGCCTGGGGCTACGCTTACACCAAACTGGAGCCTGTTGCATTTGAATGCACCACGATGTGTGACTATAGTTTGGGCTTCTGCAGTCTCGGGATCAACTGGTAGCTGTTGATACGCTTGGGCCAGATCTAATTTTGCGAATATTTTGCCCCCCCCCCAAGTGAATGCAGGAGATGTTGAACAACTGGCACTGGGTAGGCGCTCTGCTGTAGCGCGTGATTGAGGGTGGCCTTGTAGTCACCGCAGATTCTTATGGACCCGTCAGATTTTATGGGGGTGATGATTGGTGTCTCCCATCGGGCATGGTCAATAGGTTCTAACACGCCTTGCGCAATTAATTTGTCCAGTTGCTCGTCAATTTTGGATTTAAGAGCAAAGGGAACTCGGCGTGGCTTTAGACGAATGGGTGCTATGTTGGGGCGAAGATTAAATGAAATGGGGGACCCCTTGTACTTGCCTAGGCCTTCGTTGAACACTTCTCGGAAATCGTGGACGAGAGCTGCCTCCCAGTCATTGTCTTCAGCCACTCCGATTCCTAGTGGTGCGAACCACTGAAGACCCAATAGACTTGGCCGGTCTCGGTCTACGACAGTGAGTGGTAGAATTGCCTTATGTCCCTTGAATGAGACCTGCACATGGCGGGTACCTGCGACTGGAATCCGGTTGCCTTGATAGTCTTTTAGTATGAGTCTCTGACTGCTGAGGTCTTGGCGTCGGATGTTGGGGACTAGCTGCTTGAGTGTTCTCCAGGATACCATGGATAGTGATGACCCAGAGTCGACTTCCATGTTGCATGGTTTGTTTTCAATCGTGACCTCTACTCGGATCTTTTTAGCGTCAAGTGATGAAGCGTGGCCGATGGTGATGGTTTGATGAGCCTCCTCTCGTCTGGGAGCGTCGTTAAACCTTCGGGGTCTGCTGTACCGGTTCCACTGGTTGCTAGGGTGGTCCCACTGCATGGTGGCGTTGCCATCGTTTCTCTTTGGGCTGCTCCCTCTCCGTCTGGGGCTGGAATTTCTCTTGTTTCTGCATACCTTCGCGATGTGTCCCCGTTTCTCGCAAAAACGGCATATGGCATCTAAGAATCTGCATTCAGATTGGGGATGGTTTCCCCCACATCCGGCGCATTGGTAGTTGGCTTTGCGGCCCCGCTGGTCCCGTTGCTCACGTTCTTACCAGAGCCTATGGACTTCTTCTTCCTCGCTGAGGATGACTCGACGTCCTCGTGATGGGTGGTTGATGTGTACTTGTCTGAAAGTTTCCCAGCATCGTTGGTGGGTTGGCGGTTGGTCCCGCTGGTTCAACGCATTCGTGCTGCCGATTTATGAGTGGCTTTGGCTGCTGTGGCGTCTGCTATGGCATCTGCAAGCGAGATGTCTCCCTTGGCCATGATCTTGCTCTGGACGGTTGGGTCTCTGAGGCCAAGGACGATGCGATCTCTCATGGCTTCTTCGAGGTTGGCGAAGCCACACAACCCACCCAGGTTCCTCAGGTCTGCCACAAAATCCCCAACGCTCTCACCTTCACGTTGGTCCCTCTGATAGAATTCATGCCTGCGAATGAGAGTTGGCACGGCTGGGGCGTAATGGTTGCGCTGGATGAGAGCAAGGGTGTCCCAATCCATGGTTTTAACTTCAGCTGGCTTGGCTAAGGCTTTAGCCATCTTAAAAACGGCTGGTCCACAACGGGTTAGAAAAACGGCTCGTTTCTTGCTGGGCGTGGCATCTTTGAGGTTGTTGGACTCCAGGAACATTTGAAATCTGTCCGTGTATGAGTCCCAATCTTCGCTAGCTGGATCAAATGGTGCGGGTGGTATAGCGCTGCTGGCCATGTCGCCGTCGTTGCGCTCTGTCAGCCACGTGCTCTTTCGGCTAGCTCAATTCAATAGCTTCTGTTGCCTCTGCATCCCATCCTCGTCGCCAGTGTTATATCTGGGAGGACGGTTCAAGAACGGAGGCAAGACTCAGATAGTAATTAAAGCTCTTTATTTGTGACTTCAGATCTGAGCAACTAACCCCAGCCACAGCAGCCCCTTATATAGGGCTGGCTGCGGCTAGGTAGCCAATGAAGGCGATTTGAGTTTGCCGCTCTTGGCAGGGCCAATCGCGGCAGCCCGTTTACTGGCCAATTGCATCAGTCTATGGCGACCAATCACGATCGGCTTTCAGCGGGCCAATCAGATTTGCAGGCTATGAGCCTGCTAGTCAGGAACAGTTGACTTAATCTTCCATCTTTCCAAGGTCAGTAAAATTAGGACTCAGATTGTCGGGGCAATTTGCTGGCTCTGTAAACCACTTAGAACTAACTGTAAAGCATTATGAAGCAGTATCAAGTCTAAGTATTATTGTTACAACCATGCTATCAAATCATGCCATTTGGTATTAAATATTTCTATAATGCCTATTTTTAAGTTGAGAATTTAAGTACATACACAGTTTTTGAAAACATTTCAACCTTTCTTTGGATTTATGGACACTAATGATCAAGTTCATGGTAATTATCATGGATGGGGTAACAATAGGATGCTTTGCATATGCTAAAAGGGATCTTATTTATTATTTTTAAAGTTTCCATAGTAATTTGTTAGACTAAATAATTATACTGAACTCCTGAGCAAACTATAAAATTTAAATACAAGTTGAAAATGTATATAAAAAGAGAGGGAGTAAGGGAAAGAGAGAGAAAGAGCCAAAAGATTCTGAAAATGAATCCTGAGATAAACTATACACAATGAATGAGACTATTTTATGTAAATAATCTATAAAAGGGAAGAAAGAAGTGGTTACAATCTAAGAATTACTATATTCAACATTCTGTCCTTTTTGGGTTTGTTGTATGCAGTCATAAATATACCCAATGTGGAAGTTTAATGGTGCAGTTTTAGTGAAAGAAACAGTGTGATATAAAATAACAATTATATATCTACCTGGTTTTGATTGTTGTGTTTTTTGATCAGGATGACTTTTAGGTTTGGATGGATCATGATATTTGATATTTAGACCTGAAAAGAAGCAACAAATTTAATATGAAATGATGTCCTTGTGTGAAAAATTTTTATCATAGTGATTCAAGAAATAGCAATTACAAAAAAAAATAGAATTCACAAAAGAATTCACAAGAGAGACCAGAAGAACTAGAAGGGAATCGATGAATTTTGCTGCTTTACTTATAGTTTTAAATTTATTCTTTGGATTAACAGTTTCCAGTCTAGATTGCAAATTTGACACCAGAGTACCTTTTTTCTTGGAAGAAGGATGGTGTCACTTGAATTTTTTCTGGCTCAAAATCCATTCTTACACAATTTTTTCAAATCTGTGCAAATTCGGAAAGGCTAATTCTAACAAATGTGGTAGATACCAGCTAGAGTACTGTATATTAAGAACAGAGAAAACAATTTTTTCCCATCTAAATTGCAGGAGTTTGTCATAGAAACTCCGTTTGCAATGTAATTGAATGTATGTTAGAGACCATGTCTTCCTGTGTCATAACAGCAGCAATTTTTAATTCATCCTTTCAGTAGCTGCATTTTCAGAATTTCAGTTTCTCGAGAAAATGGAAAACAAGAATAGTTACAACTCTTTATTCCAAGGGAGATTCTATTTTGCTGTTTAATCTGGCAAGAATGCTGGCATTTGCAACTCATTTGGGTCCTGTGCCTTGATCTTGTGCCTTAATCTAAGGTGTTTTTTTCTTTTCAGATAATTCTTTTTAGGGAATATGACTTTTTCAAATAGCAAAAGCTTGAAAAGGTTTTTTTAAAAATAAGTAAATAATCCTACTTTACTTATTTCAAATTAACTTGAAAAATTCTTACTGGTTGTTCAAATTACATTAGATTTCATTAATATAAGGGGGAAAATGGATATTCTAATTCAAATAGAAAACATGTAAAATAGTTAAATTTGTACTGATTTAAATATATAGAATAAAGGGTTAACTTTACATCTGTTGTGCAATGTTCTCATGTTAAAGGTATTCTGAGCATAATCCAAGTTGCAAAAATTGTTTAGGATAATGGCAAAGACAATCTCCTGGTTATTTTCTAAACCTGGAAATGTCTTTTACATGAGAAATTACAAAAAAGGAAACTTTTTTTTAATAAGCCAAAAATGTGGTTTAAAAGAAAAAATGTTATTCTGGTTGCTAAGAATGAATTCATTCTTTTGTTTTATACTCTGTTAGCATGTTTGTCCTATATTTTAACAGATAATAAAGTTTCTATTTTTACTGAAAAATCAATTAACTTTTATTTTATAATGTGTGGTTTTTCCTCCCACCATTTTTGAAATGCATCTCTCTCTCTCTCTCTCTCTCTCTCACACACACACACACACACACACATGCGAACATAGACACAAAACTATTAAACTGTTTTTTTTCAGTTTTTCATTTTAGTTATACACAAATATGTGTTTTTCTCACATTATTTTATGTGACTATGTAAGATGGAACTCTATTAAATATATTTAAAACAAATTCCTGAAAGTCAAAATAATGAATTACTCACTGGATTTGTTTGGGGTTATATCAGGACTGGAAGGAGTTATTGGTCTGGTTGGAACTTCATGTGCTTCCTTAGGAGCTGTAAGAAATTATACTGACATTTTTTAAAACTTTAATATACCAAACTATAAAGAATTCAGAAAAACAGTCCATGTATGTATGTATGTATGTCATTCAGCTTTGTTCAGGTATTTTCCCACATCATTATAGTTGTGCTTTTAAAGTTGTAGCAACGTTTCGGCAGAATGATGATGGCAGAATCTGTAGCAATGTTTTGGCAGAATGATGATGGCAGATGAGATTCTGCCGAAACGTTGCTACAACTTTAAAAGCACAACTATAATAACGTGGGAAAATACCCGAACAAAGCTGAATACCATACATGTAAGTACCCACGAAAACTTAAGAAAAAAAAAAAAAACCACACACACACACACATATATGCACACACACACACACACACACACCTTTCTCTGTCTCTAATCTATCTATCTATCTATCTATCTATCTATCTATCTATCATTTATCTATCTATCTATCTCCAATAAAAATCAGTAATAATAATGTGACTGTTTAATAAAACGCGATGCTATAAATATAAATACTGTTATAAAAATACTGATTAAAAAAAGCTAAAAACTAAACTACAATATTAATTCTCTGAATTGGATACAATGGAGTACGGTGGGTCTGAGTTCTATACAAGAGAAACCACCTCTCAGGCTCTTTTCCATTATTTAACTAAAACCACTGGCGTGTCTAACTAAAAAAATGTGTTAGTTCTTACTCAAGGGAGCTGTTTCATCAAGTGACAAGAAAGATAAATAAAAACATTTGAGTTCAAATGAGGTCTGTGCTGGTTCGGTGAAAATGTGCGCACGCTGCACGTGCACAGTTTTTGCTGCACAGCGAGGCTCGACGGAGCACTTCCATCCATCAAAAACTATTGAGAAAGTATTTTCATAATCTGATTTTGAAATGAGCAATCATTATCATCCTTTTTTCCAAATTATTTTCAGTGTAAAAATAAAACTACATCTCTTTAAGAGCACAGAATATTTTTCTTGCTGTTTTCAGTTAACTCTTAATGAGAACATAATGTGATCTACTGTAACATACAATACTATTATAAGAACATATGATGCTGATTATGCAGTATAGATTGGATGTCTTAGATTTCTTTAAGTATTAAATCACACTTTTAGGAAAAGAATTCCTAGCTATGGCCAAAATATTAAAATAACCAACATGATCAGTGTATTGACACAAAATAAATAGGGATTTACCATGCCGAGGCTGTGGGACTTCAGTGCTGGTCTGAGGTTTATGTTTGGCATGATTTTTCTCTTAAGGAAAAAAAAAACCATGAATGCTAGTTATTGATTGATACATTTTTCCAGACCCCTGGGCTGTATACTGACTGGCACATTTACCAACATGCACATGTGAACAAAGTGTATTTTATAGAATTTAAAAGACACGTAACATTCTTTTATAATAGTTTAAACCTATGCACAAAGAAATAGGTGTCAATAGCTGACTAGTTTTGTATTAGTGATGAGACTATTCAGACACAAAAGGGCTTCCCAAGCCTTTTAAGTTGCTTTTGTAGTAACTGACAGGAAAGAGGTGGCGGGTTTTCTGTTGAAATAAAATAACCAAGGTCAGAGACCACAAAGGACTCCACTGTTTCCTCCAGAAAAGCTAAAAATGCATCTCATTCCTTGAAGTGCCATGTCTCTTTTGATGGATCCAATCTGGCTCCATAGATTATCAGAAGACGCCCTTTTGAGAATCAACTCACTTTCACTAGTAATTGACCCAGTTCGTTCCTTGGGAAGGGTGATAATGTGCATGTCCCAGGTCATAATGTGCATTCCTAGGAAGCACATTTGGCTTCCAGTCTCCCAGGACTTCGAGAAGTCATAAAAAACCAACTTTTCTACTAAAACTTTGTTAGTTGAATTTATTTAAATTTGAACAAAATTGGTATAAAAGTAATTGTTTTTTATTTTTATTTTTTGTGTGTATTTTTAGTCATGGTAAGCACTGAATATTGTATAAAATATAGATGGGACATACATTTTAATACCTAAATGCATGGGTGGGATTTTACCTGGTTGGACTGGTTCTATAGAACCAGTTGTTATGATTCTGCCCAGTTGGGAGAACTGGCAAATTTTGCCACTGCCTGGGTCCTCCCCTTCCCAACCCGCCCACTCACTCCTTACCTGGCATGCGCACCATCAAATTTGTTTGCTAAGTTTCAATTTTTCTTTTTTCTTTTTCCCAACCACCAGTTTTTCTGCTGTGCTGGGAGATTTAGATTAGCTAGAAAGCAGGAAATCATTGGATTTCTTGATTTCTAGCTAATCTAAAAACAGAGCTGAACCTTCTTTAGGACTGAAGTTTCTATTTTTCAATGCAGACTCAGATAGAAGATTGTAGAATGGTAGATCTCTAAGTGAATCTGTGATTCTGTGAGCAACTCAATCTGCCTGCCTGCTTTGCCTGATTTTGGGTAAAGTTGCTCTTTTTAATAAAAAATTAAATGTTTACATAAATATTTACAATATTTACATACAAGCCACACCCAGCCAGTCATGTGATTGCCAAGGCACATCCAGTCAGCAAGCCATGACCACCAAGTCACATGACCACCAAGCCACAGTCAGACATTAGGCCACGCCCACAAAACCGTTCTTAAGAAATTTGAATCCCACCCCTGCTTAAATAGATTTTGATGCATAGAACAGCTGGGAAAAGAAATAAAACATGTAGTGTTTTATTTAGAAGTTATTATTGTACACGGGCAGAGATACTGAAATCAGGTTTCTTATGAGAAATTCATTTGGCATAATTAGAATTAGAAATATCTATCTATCTATCTATCTATCTATCTATCCATCCATCCATCCATCCATCCATCCATCCATCCATCTATCTGGCTGTGGTTTTGGAGTCTAGTCTGAAAGCTCTTCTTTGTGGGGCATCATAGCTCTATGCCATCCCTACTTCTTTTTAACATCTACATGAAATGAAGGGGGTGAGTGGATTATTCCTCTGCATGAGGTAAAAAGCATTATCGGTATTCTGATGACAGTCAACTATATAAATCTGTCTTCACTCAAACAACTAAAAGTTGTTGAGGTTCTGTCACAGTATCTGTAGATTATGGAAGTCTGAAGGGGAAAAATAAGATCATCCCTTCCATGACTGAGTGGCTATTGCTTTTGGATCCATGAGAGGAGTATGGGCCAGATTTTCTATTATTGATTATTACTATTTGTTGCTTTTTTTCTTGGATTACTTTCTCTTATACGCCTCTCAGAGACAAATTTAATAAGAAAAACACTGCTAAAAGGACAAGACTAATAAATTTTTATTCCCAAATTATGTAGGGTTTTTTTTTAATGCAGGCTTTGACACATGGAGAAAATTTAAATAACAATATAAAAATTTACCAGATTTTGGTAGTAGCAATGGGTTGATTGTTGTTTTAGTGATTGGAACATGATGCTTGGTTTCTGCATCTGAAAAAGAAAAAAATATCTTCAAAATTATTAAGATGTAAATAGGGTCATGTCGGGCATTTTAAAATTGAATGTGAAGGTGAAGATGAAGAAACATGCTGTGGATATGAAGTGTACAAAATCAGCCAGACAAAAGGGTTGGAAAGAGTAGCCTCAATACATATATAAAATTAGTGATTTATGAAAATTTCAGGAGCCAGCTTAAAAAAGAAATGGAAATTATAAACACGTGGGAGTTCACTGCGTATAATATGGCCACTTCCAGCTATTTTCACATGACTGAATCACTGTGCAAGGAAAGAAAGAAAAAGCAGTACTGTGGAAAAAAATAAATAGAATGGTTAAAAGTCTTCAGTGCTAAATGACTAGCAAACCTAGAGAAAGGATGGGATTTAATGAAAAAAAGATGATGTTAGATGATCTTACAGAAAAGAACATGTAATGGATTTCTGAACAAGAAAGTAAAATAAGAAAATTAATCAGTGTGCCAGGAAAACACTATTACCTACTATTGGAAGTTCATTGCTAAACGTAATAGGTTCCAAAACTGTACCGGGGAAAAAAGGGAACTATTAGAATATGGAAAACCTTTCAGAATGCCTGTAACTGCAACACTAATTTACAAAAAATATTGTAGCTTTAAAAACAGAAATTGATACATAATCTTAGAAACTAAGATTAGAAACTAATAAGAATTAATGCACCTGAGCACATGTTCCAAAGTTCTGTTCAATCCAGAAAATACTAATGTCCAAGGAGTGACCAGGAATGCATGATCTACATATCTACTAAGAATCATACTGAAAACAATTTTATCTAATGCATAACAATTATCAGGTTAGTAAATGGGTGCTTTGGCATGGTCAAGAGTTTATGAAAATAATTATAAGCCTCAGTTGAAAATAAAAACAAGCAACCAACCCCCCCCCCCATAAATTTAGGATGTCAACATTGAAGGACACCTATGTACCCCAAAATAATTTTAAATATTTTACAAACATGAATCAGAAATATTCCATCATAAAATGCATGATCTGAAGATGAAGAAAAATATTGCCTCAGATGGGTCTTATTCCTCTATATGGACTCTCATAGGAAGTTTTAATGTATATGGTGAATGTCTTGGATTGTGAAGTTTACCTCTATTCCCATTCTATAAAGAGTACATTCAGGGTGATTCGGTATTGGACCACAACATTTAGAATTTATAAAATTTATAATTTAACTGACTTCATAGTACTGACTTCATAGTACTGTTGAATAAAATTAGGTTCAAGAAGTTCTTGTAGTAAAGGGGGAAAAAGTAAATAAAAAGTCACTCCACCACGTTTCCTTTCTGGTACTTCTGAAAAGATGTAGTCAAGTTTTCTAAATTTTGATGGATCAGGGCTTAATTCATAGGAAGCTGAAAGGAAGTCGAGCCTAGATTTAATTTAGCTTTTGACAGGAAGGTACAAGATTCAAACTACCATATGATAGTAACCATATCTTATGACAGGATTTTGAACTGAACAAGAAAATATTCTAAAAGTGTAATGGGGTTAAACCTCAGGAAAATAAAGATCAAAGTAACATGAATGAAAGTGAATGATCTGCTAATACTATGCACTGGTGTAGCGAAGTGCTGCAGATGATCACAGGCATGTTCTAAAAGGTTATGCTCAGTGCAGCCTTGGGGAATGAATTATGTTGCAACAACAAATAATCTTCAATTTTATCTAACGTATGAGAAAATATAATTACCATATTTGGTAACTGGGAGTTCTGGGGTGGTCAAGACTTTAGGAAGATAATTATAATCCAAAGTTGAAACTAGAAAAAAGCAAACAACCCCCAAATAAGTTCACATTGTACATGTGGACATGGTTTTGGCTATAAAAGCCTAAAAGTTATTTCATTTTAAAATGGAATGATCAGGCATGACACCATTATGAAGAAATATATTGCCTTGGAAGGATTTTCATCATTCATATAAAGGGATCCAGGAGATTTGTATGTTTTGTATTCTGGTTGGAAAGTGTCCCTTCATTCTATTTGGTCTTTTAGAGCATTCAATAATATCCTCAGACCTTGTGCATATAGTAATTTCCAGAATGTCTGGATTTTGTAAACCCTTTTGAGAAGATTACACTAGATAGATGCAAGAACGTATCTTGTAAAGGATCAGAGAGTAGTATATAAAAAAATGTCACTCTACCAGGTTTCCTGTCTGGTACTTCTGCAAGGATGTAGCC